ACTGGTATAACATCAAAAAAGGAAGCAGCAGACGTGATTTTGCTGCTCTTGTTGCGTTCGGTGTGAAAGCAGCATGATTCACTCCGCTCTGGCTTTGCTCTGCCCACGGGCTGCTGAGAGTAGGATGGTTGCGCTGGCTGTGGTCCGCTCTTCTTGCAGTCAAACACCGAGCAACTTTCTGCTCTTAAATTGTTTCCATGCACGATGTATTGCATTGCGCACTATTGGCATCAGTCTTAGTAAAGTGAAGCCACACTTTTGACCTGGGGGGCATTTTAAAGGGGTTCCATGACGCACGCAACCAGTTCACAACAGATACACATGAACCCTGGCTGTAGGCGTGACCACGTATCTATTTTTCCTGAATGACGCAATCAGATTAAGTGTTACAGCCAATCACCGAAACTTGGTACCGAAAGACAAGGCATGTTTCGATACTCTGTAGAACCGAAGCATTTCGGTCAGTACCTTAAAAGAACCGATGTTCGGTACCCATCCCTACCCCTAGGAGGCACCCACCCCCCTTTGGTAACTACTGACCTAGACTATGCATCTAGATTAGTTCAGATTGAAGGACACTTTAAGCTGCCAGTAAACATTTTTTGCATTAAACTCATACTACCAAATTAGAAATTGTTTTGATCCATTAAATATATTTCTTTATCAGAAAAAAAAGCTTAATAGGGTGATTTAGTAATATAATCATACATCTTTGAAGTTTATGTACTATAAGTAGAAAATTATCCTAATTAAAAAAAATAAAGGTTTAAAAACTTCAGGCTTTAAATTTCAGATGTAAAATGATCAGAATCAGAACCTCAGCTTATCAGACCCCTTCCTCAGTGCATCCTTAATTAACACACATAGGAAGCCCAGAGCAGAAATGGAGATTAGCAAACTTTATGCCAAACTATTCAGATTCAATTTTTTTTCTACAAATCTAAGAAAGGGGATCCTATACAGAACCTTTAATTGTTTAGAAGAACAATTAAAGGTTCTGTATATATCCAGCGTTAAATGTTTTGAAGATCTAGAAAATGATGAAGTCATCTGTAAACAAACTATTATTTCTGGTGACAGATAAGATTCAATTATTTACATTAACCTGAAGATCAAAACAAGGGCTGCAGAAACACGTTTAAATAATATATTGAATCAAACATTTATTCTTTACGCTTTCCTCACAATGACAGTACTTATAATAAACTCTGCCAAGTTCTAAACATTTTACTGCCCAAAAATGTAAAGGATCTGATTTTTTGTCAAGTGCAAAACATGAAATTGTTTTAGGAAACAAAACTAAAAAAAAAATTATAATGTTTAGGGTTTTATTAATATAACAAGAAATACGTTGCCTTTCAAAATAATTTTAAAAGCTAAAGTTGTTTATTGTTGTATTAAGGAGACCATACTTGTTCTTCGAGTCCTTCTCTGACAGAAGGGGCCAGACGCCAACTTGTTTTGCAAGAATTTGATACCAAACTCACCAAAAACGATTCCTCTGAATCCAGAAACTTTTAAAATGACTAATTTTTTAACACCTTTGACCTTCCATTAAAGTCAAATATATATGTTACCTTAAAACCCTGTTTAATGCATTCTACTAAGGTATCCATGGAGACCAATATGTTTACCACTGCATGTTTTAAAAAAGAACTTCCTTTTCAAGTTTAAATATATTTAAAAAAAAAAACGTTTTATTCTAAAACTGTTTTGTATTTTTTTCAACCATTTCCACAATAAATTCATCAAAGATTATTCTCACAAACCAAAATGTGTTTTTGTTTTACATAATTACATCTCTGTTATCATTCCTCCCATTTCCAACCAATAAAAATCAATTTAAATAAAAAAAAAAAACTGGTTATAAACCTAACATTTCCTAAACACATGAACTAAACTAAACAACTTGAGAATCTTTATCTTTTATTTCCCAGTTGTTTATCAGGAGAAATTCAGTCAACTTCCAAAACACTCAAAATGATATATATTTTTTATCAAATACAAAAGAATAAACAATTTAGCTTGATAATATATTATGCTAAATGTCCTTCAAGTCTCTTTTTATATTTATTTAATGTAATTTCACCAACATTTTCATATAGAGCAAACTTATTTTCAGGGCATTTTTTAAAAATAATAGACCTAGCACATCTAGTTTACAAACATTTCACCTCAAATTCAACAAAGGTGTTTTTCTTAAACAGAAATACATTTTTTTTAAATCACTAAATCACTGTTAACATTCCTGACAAAAACACAAAACACTTTTAATCTCTGAGATGTCAAAGATGCTAGATGCTAAGCTAGCTGTCACAACTTCCATGAAAAAACTTAAAACTAATAATTTTTCACATAACATTTTTGTTTTTAATTTACATAGTAAAAGAGTGACATATACCTTCTAGATGATCCAGGAACCAGTTGTCCAGCGGTGCGAAGCCAATCTTTAACAGGTTAGCAAATCACAGAAAGCAGCAACTTCAATCTCCAAGGTTCAGGTTAGAAATGGGTTAAAAATGGCTGGTGCTCCGTTTCCATGGCAGCGGGTGAGCGTGCGCACGCACGCGTGCGTGAGATCAATTACAGTAGAAAAGCTTGCTAACTGCACCAGCTAATTAGCATCAAACAAAGCACGTTTTTTTGCAGTAATATATTTTTATCCTCACCCAAAGGTGAGTTCAGTCAAAGTGTGCATTTAATGAGGCAAAGGAGCGAGTTCTAAAGCTCACTGGCCGCTTTCTAAGGTTTTCTAAATCTGAATCTGAATTTGGAAAAAAATTTCAATCCAAAACCGCTTTTTTCTGATCTCCATTCTGATTTGCATCCATGTACACACCCACTTAGATCTTTGGAGTAAAATAATCTCCACTGTGGTGGACGAAGTACTCAATAGTAGTACTTGATACTATTAGAAACTTAATCAACTACAATTAAAGTTACTCGCTTAAACATCTACTCAAGTTGAAGTATTGAATTTAGAAAATATTCCAACACATTCTCCATCCCAACTCGTCACATTTGGACGCTCGGTCAGACTCCCTCTGCGTCACATAATGACACACCGGGTATCCCTTTCAATATTTGACACGCAGGGCGCTCCACTTGACTGTTATAGCCTATATGGCACCAGGAGGATGGTCCATTATCATTTTCTAAAAGGTATAAAAGAATGTATCCCCAAATTAAATCAAATGAAATATGAAAATGTTGTTTTCCTGTTTTCCGAATGAATCTATTGTAACCCTATTAATTAACCCTTAATTACCTCAATGTAATGCATTTCCTGCTGACATTAGGAAATCAAGTGCAACTCAGATTTTCACCACTGGGTGGCAGCATATAGAAATGAGGTAAATCTTCCATAAAAGGTGATTTAAGCATAAAAAGGATTCAGAATATAATTCATAGCTTATTTGCAGATACACCAGGCTGGTTAATGTTGTTGAACTCCATTGGAAATTTAATTAGAATCTCAATCGAGTTGTCTCGGTAAGTGTTAGCTACCATTTTGTGTATTTAGCACATGACGTAGTCATTGAAACACGATATAAAAGGGTGTTAAATGATATCTAAGCCTTCATTTTTTACAAACCAGTCGGGATGACTTTTAAAATTAGCTGTGATTGCTGTTCACGGTGTGTAAAATGTTTTACTCACTGAATTGTATTCTAGACTGTATCTATGAGGAATGTGCGACAGTGTTGGCCAGACAGATTCAAATTTTAGGCTGGCGAGTATTTTAATGGCACTAGTGGCTCATTATGAGAGAGGGGTGAAGAGACATGTGGCAAAGCACCACAGGTCAATTTTGAACCCGGGTCGGCTGCGTCAAGGACTAAGACCTTCGTACATGGGTCATGCACGCTAACCGCTGCACCACCGAAGCAGGCCCCATGAACCTTTTTTTGGTCATCCTACTTAGCTATGGCTTAACAGCACAGACGTCTCTTAAACTACGACTTCTAATCACATAAGTGAGGTTAGATGTCTGAAAGGAATTATTAAGCTGACGGGCTTCAGTTCCTCACCTTTTAGGCATAGATGTTTTATTCTAGATCACAATTACGTAAAAGGCGACGTATAAAAGTTTCATTCCTGTTTTGTGTGTGAACAAACTTTATCAATGACACCTTAGTACCTTGGGGTTCATTCATCCACATTTTGTGATTCTGCTCTCACTATCAGTCGCTCTACAGACCTGACAGCAGCTGGCAGGTCCAAATCCATCCCACTCAGCTTCAGGGAACCACTTTGGACCGGCGTCCTGGACTCAGGACTCAGCGTCCCGGACTGAGAAAAACAGACAAGTCAGGAAAAATTCATCCACACTGCAAAAACAATCTAGAAATAAGTCAACATTTCTTAAATTAATTATTAATTAATTTGAGTATGTAAATAAGATGATTTGCCAATGGAATGAGATGTTACTTTTAAAATAAGATAATTAGATAATATGCACTTGAAATAAGACAATGTAGTTGTTTTTTCTTATTTTAAATGTAAATTGTCTTGTTCCATTGGCAGAGAGTCTCACTTACTTCCTCAATTCAAGAACAAATCCAGTTATATTAAGAAAAATGTACTTATCTAGATTTCGATTTTTTCCAGTGCATGCTGCTCCACTTATGGTTTCAGAGAAGCAAAAACGTAATGTTAAAGGGGTCATAGAATGATTATTTAGGGTATTTGGTGCTTAGGGTCTCTGAATAGGGTGTGTAACATTGGTTGGGCTGAAAATTGTATATTTGCTGTTCTATGAGTCGAAATGCAAACCTGGTTAAAAGCCCTAGAATGAAACGACAGGTTTTCTTCTTTTTATGGTATGCTCATGAATATTTAGATGAGCTGTGCGCTGATTGGTTGGTTTACAACGAGCAAAGCTGCTAAGCAAGGACTCAGTCCTACTTTTCATACCTAAAAAAATGTCAGGGGGGGGGGTTCAAAATCGAACCCGACCCGGTGACGATAGCCTCATGCACGCTAAGGCAGGCAGGTGGAAGCACGGTAAGGGAGTTGGGTGGAAGCACGGTAAGGCAGGCAGGTGGAAGCACGGTAAGGGAGTCAGGTGGAAGCACGGTAAGGCAGTTAGGTGAAGCACGGTAAGGCAGGTAGGTGGAAGCATGGTAAGGCAGGCAGGTGGAAGCACGGTAAGGCAGGCGGGTGGAAGCACGGTAAGGGAGTCGGGTGGAAGCACGGTAAGGCAGGCAGGTGGAAGCACGGTAAGGCAGGCAGGTGGAAGCACGGTAAGGGAGTCGGGTGGAAGCACAGTAAGGGAGTCAGGTGGAAGCACGGTAAGGCAGGCAGGTGGAAGCACGGTAAGGGAGTCGGGTGGGAGCACGGTAAGGCAGGCAGGTGGAAGCATTGTAAGGCAAGCAGGTGGAAGCTCGGTAAGGCCGGCAGGTGGAAGCACGGTAAGGCAGGCAGGTGGAAGCACGGTAAGGGAGTCGGGTGGAAACACGGTAAGGCAGGCAGGTGGAAGCACGGTAAGGGAGTCGGGTGGAAGCACGGTAAGGGAGTCGGGTGGAAGCATGGTAAGGCAGGCAGCATACCGTCACCAGGTCGGCTTCGGACCAGCCCCGGAGCTGATGGCTCGGTTCAAATGCCCGGTCCGGTCCAGTCAGCAGCCCAGCCATTTCTCAGATCTATTACAGAGCTACTAGGATCTGGGAACACTATTGTTGTAACTTGCAGCAGGCATTTATGTTGCTGCCGAATCCATTCAAATCAAAGTCGGCATCATTACCAGAGGTAAAAATGTATATATTTTGGACCCATAAAATTCCATTATACAAGGATTTATAGACTGTTTTCAGTAAAACTAATACTTTGATTACACCACTCGAGATGTACATAACAAATTTGGCACTGTTTTTGTCACTGCAGAACCTTTTGCAGTCTCTAACTCAAAGTACAGCCACTCTGCTGGCATCGCTCCTTCCAGGGATTCCTTCCCTGGTAGCTAGGCATCTACTATCCTATTAGCAGTCACAATAGGTATGATCTGATTGACTCTGTGTGCGGCATACAGGTGCTTCTGGTTAAAAAAGCAGGTGTGGAGTCCTTCTGTCAGTGTGCTCATATAAGAGACATTTCATGAAGGCCAAAATAATCATTTTTCGTTTTGTGTCAAACTAATTTTAAAAATGAATATCAGACATCCTGAACGAGCACTTTTTAAAATGTTTTTCGCATCCTGAAAGTTTCAGATTATGATTTTATTTATAAAGGAAATAAAATATACCCAAACCACCTGACACTTTGTGAAAAGGTATTTGCAGCCTAATAACTGGTTACTTCAATTTAATTCAGCTTATTTCTATAGTGCCATTTCACAACACACGTCATCTCAAGGCTCTTTTCAGTTCAGTTCATTAAATCAAAGTTTTTTATCTAAGGAAAACCAGTTGATTGCATCGACTCATTGACCCCACTTGCAATACCTCACACTAAGCATGGTTGTAGCGACAGTGGAGAGGAAAACTCCCTTTTAACAGGAAGAAACCTCCAGCAGAACTAGGCTTAGCGTGAGCAGCCATCTTCCCCTTTAATGGTTAATAATGACTGGTAATGAGTCTTTAACATTACTGTGGAGGAATATTAGCCCGTTATGCTGTGCACGATCATTCAATTGAGTCACACAGGGGGGTTCTACCATTTCAGCTCTTGCAATAGCCTGTCGATCAAAGTAAACTTTACCTGAGCCACTCAAAAACAGTTTTTAAACTAAGTCACAGGTGGGGTTGGCAGGGTTTTTATGGACAGATTTCATGTTCCCATTAATCATGGCAAGTAATCCAGGTTCTGCAGCAGCAAATCAGCCCATACTATCACACTTCCAACATTGTGTTTAAATGGAGGTATGATGTTCAGGTTCTGAAATACGGTATAAGTTTGAATCTAAATTTAACAGAATGCATAAGAAAAAGATTGGATAATTTGAGAAGCACCAACACGTGTGAGGCAGCCAACAGCTGACAAAGTAACAGGATGTCAGTTACCAGATCAAAACCCAGGTAGAGGCAATGCTTCTTGATTCCTTCATTAGTGGAAGAAATGAATGAACAAATCTGTTCTGGTGACACCTGGAGGGAGACAGACAGGATCAGGACCAGATATTACCTGATTAATTCTGAAGACTGTGAGGCTGATCAAACAGGAGTGTGGAAGGGAAGGGACAAATCCAATATTTAGTTGGATTATTCCAGAAAGGAGAGCTTTTGAGAATGGACAGAGTACCGGATTTTTCTTCATCATCGTCTTTAGTTCCTTCAGGTTGTTCATAAACTCAGATTGCAGCTGGTTGCTTTTGGCCTCCTGCAGGAGTTTAACACAGTAAATCGTGGACATGGACAGGTTGTCCGAGACAGAAAGAAGGACAAGCTGACAGGTACCTCAGCCCTGATCTTAATTTGTGTCCTGCTGATGATTTCCTGGACCTTCACATTGAATTTCACCTCAGTTTGCAGGGAAGAAAACTCGTCCTCTAGGGAAGTCGAAGCCTTCCTCACCTGCAGCAGAACAGAGACGCTTTCAGAGTTTTGATGGACACCTTACTACCTGCTACTTGAAGTGCCTGTTTCCATCCGTCACCTAACTCCTTTAAAGACCAACCTACCTGGGCTGAACTTTCAGGCTCAAAAACCATCAGTTTCTTGTATATTTTCTGCTCTGCTGCAGAGATTTTCCTGGTTTTCTTCTGCAGGCTCCCCTGAAGCTTTTCTACCTCCCTAGGAGCAAAACTTCCTCCTTCATGGAACTTCCTACAGGAGAAGAAAACTTCCATTTGAGAATGATTACCATATTTTTAACCTCCTACTGCTAGCATTAATTTTGAATATATACCTGAAAGACTTTAGAAGGTGTGATGTTCTTCTTCTGACCTCCTCCATTCTGCTTTGAATCGACAGTCTGAAGTTCTCCTTACGGCTCTGGATGTCAGCAGCATGCTGCTCCAGGCAGGACCGCAGGGTGGACCCAAAAGCGTCCAGGCTGACAGACACAGAGGAGGTTAAAGAGGCAGTTTTGCAGAGTGTCAACCGATCATTGTTCAGTTCTTACCGGTTGCAGCTGGTGAGCGCCATGTGTAGGCCATCCTGGGCATCCTTCAGGATGGAGGCCTTTAGCTCCTGCAGCTCCCTGCTGTGCAAGTTCAAAACTTTCAAAAACTCCAAGTTCTCCTCCTGGAGAGATTTTTGAAGACCCTGAAACTCTTCTTTGCAGGAGGCTAAAATGTGCAACATGTCCTGACAGTGGTCGTCCACATGCTGTTGATGGAGCTGCAGCTCAGCTACACAAACAAACACACACAACATGGTGTCAGTCAAACATCTCAGGAGCTCTGAATGTGGCCTATATGCAGTGATATTCTGTATTATTCAGGTGAGGTCAGGTCTCGCTGAGGGTAAAATGTATTTTTCAAGAAAGATCTGATCATGAAAGCACAAAAGAAACATACAATGACTATAATAAAACATAAAAAATAATAGAAAATGACAACAGCTTATATAAACGCAGAAGGTAATCAGACAAGCAGTAGCAGAACAAGCATGAAACAGTCTCAGTAACAAAATAACTTTACTGTTAGTTCATTAAAAACTATCTAAATGACCAAACCGGTTCTGACAATTCCAGACCCATTTATACACTCACAAAACAGCCTTTTCTTTCCTGATTTGGTTCTGACTCTGAAAAAAAGTTGTTTTTTTAAACATTCACAGAGTCCAGGGTTTGGTTTCAGCGAAACTTCTATTGCTCTTATTACAGTTCTGTTACAGCCTACAGAGAACGATTATGTCCAAATGTCTAAACCATGATACAACACAACATACAACAAAGTCAACATCCAGCTTGTTTCAGCTCAGCAGTTTTCAACAGAAGCAAATTATGATTGAAGAAAACCATCTTCCTCACCTGGAGGTAGACATGAAGTTTATTTCTCAAGGAGAAAGCTAAGAATGGAGATACTCCTGAGTAAGCTGTGTGTGCTATTGAACCTGGTTTGGCATCAGAGTGAGGACCCCTATTCTGGTTTCCGCTTTTTTACCAAAGTGAAGACATTTTTCTGGCTCTCTTTTCCATTTTCAGGACTTGGTATGAACTGAGTTTGGGTTAAAGGGATAATCGTGCTAACCCACTTTCATTCTGTTCTGTTTGCCAGCAAGTTAGCAGTTCTACTAATGCTAACCGAAGGTCAGCATTAGCAAAGGTTGAACTTACCTTTCCAAAAGGAAAGTGGAAACCTCTGTATGGCATATGAGCCCCTTTGCTTCTTTAAGTCGGCACCAATGCAAAAAGCTTGACCAATGTTCATCCTCAATTTGCTTCTTTTACTTATTTATTTTTTCACTTCTTTCTGAGCAATGTAATGAACAGAAGAAGCCCTTTCTTAGCTCTATCGTGGAGCTAATAGAACTGGCATGCCAAAAGTTAGTGTTCACGGTTTCCCTGCTTCAGCACAGCAGATTCCGATGACTACACTTCAGCTAAAGCTTGTTAATCAGCTATCGATGGAAATCAGCTGTGCTGAAGCAGCGAAACCTCTAAAACCTGCAGGACAGTTGCCATCGAGAGCTGACTATGGGCAGGCCTGAGCTCCATCCTACATAATTTCATTCTTATTAGTACAGAATCCTTTTATGTCGATGTTGGTATCAAGAAAAGCAAATATTACATTCAATTTGGACCCATATAAACTGTAAAGGTTTATAAAGCAATTATTTGTTGTTTTTTTAAATAAAATTAAGGACATTTCTTTTATTCTGCGCCACTCTAGAGGTTCTTTTGATGCATTATTACTGTAAAAAAATATTCCTTGATGAAAAAGTTGTCTATGACCTTCAAGGTAAGGGTGAGGTATGCTCTGGTAATGAATAACTTTAGGGTTATTGTTAGAGCATAGAAATAGTTTAAAATGACTAAAATAATCAATGAAGTGTGTGTGTTTTACCGAGGCGGGGCTCGTAAATGTGGGTCCTGATGTATTCACTTTTCAGCTGGAGTTCCTGCTCCAATCGGACTGACTCTTTCCTTTCCTTCACCATGGCCTCAACCAAGCCTGGGAGGTCTTTGAAGCTTTGCTCAACATGGTCAAGGACCAAAATCCGGGTCCTAGTCATCAAACATACATTGTGAGGACATCACTGGGTAGATGTTGTCAAAGTAATTACAGATGAAGTGAGAATCAATTATGTTTCAGTTTGTCTTTGCTTAAATTAACATGAATTTTACTGTTATAAGGTCTGTAATCAGTAATAAATGACATATTTGCTGTTTCAGAAAGCCTGGAATTATAAATTAACTGTTTTCATATTCTAAAGGCATATATCAAAGGAATGAGCTGTTATAATGAAAAATAAGAAAGTATATTTTCAGTTAAGTAAAATAAGGCACTGACTAAACCTTTTGAAACAACATCCTTGGGTAAGGCTAGGCACTAAAAATGAATTACCTAACTATTGCAAGGGCAGAAATTGTGTGAAAGCAGGAAGTCCCTGGCTTCAAGGCTATCTGACTCACTTGTTGCAAAAGGGTGTGGCTTTTGGAAGGAGAAATTAGCACTAGTCAGCAGATTCTTTCCACCAAACCAGGAGGACTTTACAAGAACTCTAACATAGGGTAATAATCGGTAGATTCAAGTCTGGGACCCTGGGTTGTTTCAGGGTTGGAGTCCAAGAGTAACTGAGAAGCGAGATTCTTGCACAATCTCAAAAGGACAGGTGAGCATACTCCCACCTGCTCAGGGTGTGCACCAGCAGCTCCATAGGAAACACTGGAGGATATTCGTGTGGCATCGAGTCAGGCAGGGTGGGGGCGGGGCACACAAAGGCAGGCCCTGTGTAGACCACGCCCGCTGTCGATGTGAAGGTGACACTGCTGCTTATGTCACAGACTTGAAGTAGTGGGGACGCCCCCTACACACAAACACAACCATTACAGGCATGACTGCAGCTGAAGAAGCTGCTGTCAGTCAGATAATCAATAGCTGATCAGCTTCACCTCAGTCAGCCATTTCTCAGGGTTGGGGGCAGGGTCTGTCTCTTTTTCACTGCTTATGGGCTCATGTCTCGCTTGTTTTGCTATTCTTGTACTGATAGAGGATTCTGAAAAGAAACATACCAGACCAGATCAAACTCGTTTCAGTGTCTAAATCAAAACAAGTCCAGGAAAACTGACCAAGAACCAGTCTGGAGGTTCTGATAGTGGGATGTTCTGCAGTTCTGCTGGTAAGGAAAATAAGTATTTGAACACCCTGCTATTTTACAAGTTCTTAGAAACAATGGAGGGGTCTGAAATTGTCATCATAGGTGCATGTCAACTGTGAGCGACAAAAAATAAAAAAAATAAATAAAATCCAGAAATTACAATGTATGAGGTTTCAACAAATTATTTGTATGATACAGCTGCAAATAAGTATTTGAACACCTGAGAAAATAAATGTTAATAAATGGATACAGTAGCCTTCATTTGCAATAACAGAGGTCAAACATTTCCAGTAGTTTTCCAACAGGTTTGCACACACTGCAGGAGGGATTTTGGCCCACTCCTCCAAACAGATCTTCTCTAGATCACTTAGGTTTCTGGACTGTCGCTGAGGAACACAAAGTTTGAGCTGCCTCCAAAGATTCTCTATTGGGTTTAGATCTGTCTCCAGATCTAAACCCAATAGTCCGAGGGAGATTGTCAGTCATGTTTAGCTTCTTCCATTTTCTAATAATTGCTCCAACAGTGGAGCTTTTTTCACTAAGCTGCTTGGTAATTTCCCTGTAGCCCTTTCCTGTCTTATGGAGGAGTACAATTTTGTTTCTAGTAACTTTGGACAGCTCTATGGTCTTGGCTTTTAGAAGTTGGATTCTTACTGTATGGGGTGGACAGGTGTTTCTATGCAGCTAACAACCTCAAACAGGTGAATCTAATTTAGGGTAATGAATGGAGTGGAGGTGGACATTTTAAAGAGAGACTAACAGGCATTTGAGGGTCAGAATTCTAGCGGATAGACAGGCGTTTAAATACTTATTTGCAGCTTTATCATACAAATAAATATTTAAAACAATCATGCATTGTGATTTCTGAAATTTATTTTTTTTAGATTCTGTCTCTCACTGTAGACATGTACCTAAGATGATCATTCCAGACCCCTCCATGATATCTAAGTGGGAGAAATTGCAAAATAGCAGGGTGTTCAAATACTTATTTTCTCCAGTATCTGATAATGGAAGCACTTTATTAATAATAATAAACAACAACAGCCCATCAAGGGTTACCCTGGTATGTTTCCATGGTTTCCGGTCTGAATGTGGGGCTTAGTCTGAAGTAGGAGCTGATGCTGCTGCTGTAGGAGAGGAGTTCCTCCATGTGGAGTGCAGGGAGCTGGTCCAGGAGCTCCCACTGATCAGTCACAAACTGTCTGCAGCTTCAAACACAACAGAGTCTGAGATGAGGACTGGACGTTCTCCTAATCAGCGACAACAGGTTTCCTACCTTTCCTCCACGTCTTTCAGCTGCTCTAGAGTATTTTGCAGACACCTCTGCAAAGCATCCTCACTTTCCCCCTGACTGAGAGCCTCCAACAGGACATTCACCTCTAACATCTTCTCCTAGAAAATACACAGTTAAGTTTCATGGGATGGACAAGCAGCTGAAACATGGAGGCCTGAACCTCACTGATCAGGGTGTGTCACCTGAACGCGCTGCTGGTGAGGCTCTGTGAGGACCTTCAGCCGTTCATTCAGTTCTTCTTTTCTCTTCTCTAACCCACAGCAGTACCTTTTCCACAACAATGCCAAGGCTTGCAGCACCTCAAAGACACTCCCGCTGACCCAGACGACATGACGGCCCACAGAGTCTCTGAGCATCTGCAGACAGAGGGACAGACAGTGAGGTCAGTCAACAGGTAAGCAGAATGGAAGTAATTCAGGAAGGTTTATCTGACAGACATCTACCTGTAAAGCAGCCAATCTGTCTTCATCCTTTCTCTGTTCTTGTCCAATTATAGGGAGCAGCTGAGAGGTGACGATTTCCTTCATCTGCTGGTCTGATAGCTGGAGAGCTGATAGTGCCTCCTTCAGGAAGACATACAAGCAAAGATCACTTTTTAGTTGTTTAACCAAATGATTTAAGCATCTTTGATTTGGCTTGTTACAAAGTTACAACTTTGCAATAATATTTCACTATTAGGAAGAGCAAATATATGAGAACTAATCACAAATTTACGAGTAGGAATCACAAATTTGCAAATACCATCAAAGAATTTTGAGCAGGAATCACATATTTATTAGTAGGAATCACAAATCTATGAGCATGAATTACAAATATACAAGTACAAAACCACAATTAACAAGTCGGAATCACAAATTTATGAGAACAAAGTACAAATCAACCAATATTAATCACAAATTTATAAGTAAAAATCACACATTTACCTGTAGGAATTTACAAGGAGGATCACAACTTTATAAGCAGTATTCTCCAATCATAAATGATTTACAAATCTATGAATAAAATGACAAATTTACTACAACAAATTTACGAGTAGGAATCATAAGAGTGGTTGAGGGCATATAGCTTGGAATCCTGAGGTTGTGAGACCTCAAACTGTGAACAGTGAAGCAGCTGTGCTGCTGCCATCAACTTGTTTGTTTGTAGATGTTCGCTCATCTGCCAGGCTGTGTGTTTCCTGGACGCGGCCGCCTTTAACAGTTGCTTTCTGTATCTCTGCTTCTGTCTCCTTGAACCCCAGTCTGCCTCTGCAGATGGCCGCTCACACTGAGCCTGGTTCTCCTGGAGGTTTCTTCCTGTTAAAATTGAGTTTTTCCTCTCCACTGTCGCTACAATTCAGTGTGAGGGATTGCCTTCGAGTCAATGAGTCGATGCAATCAACTGGTTTTCCTTAGATTGTGTTGTGATTTGGCACTTTATAAATAAACTGAATTCAATTGAATATAAACTCTAAATCATTATAATACAACTGAATAAGCAAACAGTATTTAATTTCAAGTAGGCTGTATCTGTTTTGACGAAATTTCCCAGATACCATACCATACCATACCATACCATACCATACCATACCATACCATACCATACCAACTTTATTTATGAAGCACTTTATGCACCGGACAGGACCAAAGTGCTGTACACAATCATAAAATACAATAAAATTATAAAATAGAAAAAAACGAGTGTAAAATACATATTAGTATACAAAAAAAATAAAACAAAGTAAAACCTCTCAAATTGTGCCAAAAGCAAAGGAAAAAAGATAAGTCTTAAGAAGGGACTTAAAAACAGCAAGGGGAGAGGCCTGTCTTATGCTCAGAGGCAGATCATTCCACAGCTTAGGAGCTGCCACAGAAAAAGCACGGTCTCCTCTGAGCTTGAATTTTGTCTTTGGGACCCTCAGAAGCAACTGATCAGCTGACCTGAGGGAACGGGAGGGTGTGTAAGAATGCAACAGCTCAGACAGATAAGAAAGGGAAAGGCCATTAAGAGTTAAAAAAAAATAAAATAATTTTAAAATCAATCCTAAAATGTACTGGCAGCCAGTGTAAGGAAGCTAAAACAGGGGAGATGTGGTCGAATTTTCGTGTACCTGTTAAAAGACGTGCAGCAGCATTTTGAACCCTCTGAAGTTGAGAAATATACAAGTCACTGACCCCTGTATAAAGTGAGTTACAGTGATCCAGCCGTGTGGTCACAAATGCATGGATCACTGTTTCAAACTGTTGTTTTGAAAGAATGGGTTTTACTTTTGCTAGCTGCCTTAAGTGGAAAAAGCTGGACTTTATAACGGCTCTGATGTGCGCTTCCATTTTAAGACCAGCATCCATCTTAACCGCTAAATTAGTAATAACCGGCTTAACGTACTGAGCCAGGGAGCCAAGACTAGTCACGGAATCAGCAGTGGATCTGCCAAAGATCATAACCTCCGTCTTGTCTTCATTGAGTTTTAAAAAATGTAGGGCCACCCAGGCCTTCACATCTTCAAGACATAAAAACAGAGACCGAAGAGAGGTGGAGTTTACATTCTTTAGCGGTAAGTATATCTGTGTGTCATCTGCATAGCAGTGAAAGGCAATCCCATGTTTTCTAAAAATAGAGCAGAGAGGAAGAAGGTAAAGTAAGAAAAGGAGCGGGCCTAGAACTGAGCACTGTGGGACACCACACCACAGTTGAGCAGAGGGGGACCTATGGCCATCAAGACAGACACAAAAAGTACGTTCACCCAAATATGATCTAAACCAATCTAGAGCTATGTGACCGATGCCCACTCACTGTTCCAGAGGGGAAAGTAAAATGACAACTGTATCCAAAGCAGATGATAAATCCAACAGAACCAAAACAACAACGTCACCTAAATCAGTTGCTAAAAGTATATCATTAAAAACTTTTAAAAGGGCTTACTCTGTGCTATGAAATGGTTTAAAACCGGACTGAAAAACTTCGAATATATTATGTTCATGAAGATAAGCCATTAGCTGATTACAGACTACCTTCTCAAGAATTTGTGAAATAAAAGGCAATTTAGAGATAGGTCGATAATTTGCCAGCACAGTAGGATCCAAAGCTGGTTTCTTAAGTAGAGGCTGCAGAACTGCATGCTTCAGAGCTTTAGGAACAACACCCGAGGACAAGCTACTATTTACAAGAGCAAGGACAGAAAGACCTATAGTAGAGAAAACTTCTTTAAATAATTGGGGCGAAATAACATCATCTGGAGAACCAGTTGGCCTTAAGTGACTAACGACCTCCTGCAATAATTGCAAGTTCACACATTCAAAGCTGTGGAAAACACTAGAACCAGGCACCACAACTGAAGGATCATAAGAAGAGGGGATAATCTGGGCCCTAATAGAAGCAACTTTCTCATCAAAAAAGTGTAAGAAGTTTTCACATGCAGCAGGTGAGGTCTCCATAAAGCCACTATGTGAATCATTTAGAACAGAGTTAATAATTTTAAATAGGATAGCAGGATTATGTGTATTTAATACAATCAAACCAGACAGGTATTTTCTTTAGCTGCCTTTTGCAATCCTTTGATAACGGCGCCAACATTCCTTTAATGTTTGGAGAGACTACTGTAATTTGTCCTTTCTCCATTTGCGTTCTGCTCTGCGGCAGTCTCTCCTGGCAGCCCGAGTGACCTCATTTAACCAGGGTTCATGCTTGGATTTTGGAAATCTAATTTTTAGTGGTGCCACCAAATCCAAGGCTGCTTTAATGGTAGAATAAAACCAGTTGCTGAGTTCTTCAGTGTTATTTCCCACTGCCTCTGGAATAGTACAGTTCTGATTAAAAACAGAAGAAAACTGACCAGCAGTAGCAGGGTTAAAAACACGACAGACGAGCTGCAGCTCGAGTTTTGGCTTTTCCACGGGACAACGTTGTCTCAAATAAAACAGGCATATGTTCAGAAAAGAACGAGTCACCAATTTCTAAGTTAAAGACTGGTAGACCATAAGATAAAACCAAATCAAGAGTGTGACCATGCTCATGAGTAGCACAAGTCACAGACTGCACAAAATTAAAAGAATCAATAACATTAAGAAATGACTGAGCCATAGGTGAAGTCGGACAGCAGACATGAATATTAAAATCACCAACAATGAGAACTCGGTCATATTTTGGCATAATATCGGCCAAGAAATCAGAAAAGTAATTCATAAAGTTTTTGTAATACTTTGGTGGCCGATAGACTACAGCACACAACACAGTGTGAGAGCTGCCAAGTTCAAATAGGCTCAGCTCAAAGCTACTAAACGAGGGTACAGGCAACTGCTTGCAAGTAAAACTACTTTTAAAAACAGTCACTATTCCTCCACCAGAGTCCGACATCCTTGGAGAATTAAAATAGCTGCAGTTCCCTAGGACAAGTTCATTAAAGGCACCCAAGCCACGTGTCCATGATTCTGTTATAAATAAAAAATCTAATCCTTGAGAGGAAAAGAAATCCCTAATTATGAAGGTTTTATTTGCCAGCGACCTGGCATTTACCAAACCGATCCTGACAGAAATTGGCAGATCCACGTCATCAGCTGCCGTCCAGGACTCAAGCTGCGCAGAGAGAGCGCAGCTTGCTAGGATTCACCCTGCGTCTGCAGGGCCGAGAAGCGCAGGGACCACGGGACTGGAACGCTCCATCCCGGCCTCCACCGACAGACGCAATGTACATACATGAATCCCATTGCATAAGAGAATGCCCTCAGATTCTCTCTTTTAGGGAAAAAGTATTTAACCTGGCCAGTCGCATCAATGGAAAACAAGTAATGTTTACCAGATATTTGCCCTGCAACAGACTGGTGACCTGTCCAGTGTGTACCCCGTCTCTCACCCATTGAAGGCCGGAGATAGCCCCCCCCAACCCCCCGCGACCCTGATGGAATAGGTGGAAAAGATGGATGGATGGATGGATGGATGGATGGATGGATGGATGGATGGATGGATGTTTATTGAATATTTTCCCAAAAATTAGATTACATTCCCAATATTGGCAAAACCCGATATTGAGTATGTAGCCAAAAGATGTATAGCCTGTTCACGGAAAAGGGACAAACCTTGTCATAGTTTGCGGTGGTTCAACGGGATTTATTTGGCTTTAGAAAGGATAAGTTGGATTGTGAAAAATAAGCTTGAAAATTTTTTGAAAATCTGGAAGGTTTTCTTTAATTTCCTTGAAAAAAATGATATTGCAGTAGATGGCCTGAATGTCGAGTTTAACTGAAGATCACAGTAATATTTTTTTTTTTTTTTTAGCTTGATTTAGTGTAAGTTTTATTTTTGTAAGTGCTTATTTTCATTATTGTTTCTATTATTATTTTTATTGGTATTCTTTTTTCTTTTATTGGCCTCCTTGCTCTATGTTGTTCATGGTTTGTAAATTGACAAAATATGCATTATGCAAATGTTTAATAAAAAGTAGATTTTGCTGACTGTTTTGTTGTGTGTGTTGATGGAAAACTCATATTAAGCGTTTACTTCATGTGTTGCACCTCCTGCATCCACCAATAGTTTTAATTGATTGTCTTGCTTTCACTAGAAAGGCTTTTGACACTAATTTCGGATCAAATAATGTTTTTTTTTTTTTTTTTTTCTGTAACAGTGCAACCAAAAGGTAATATGGCATTTACAGTTCTTGTGATTTATTCCCCACTGCTTATTTTTTATTGGTCCTTTATTTCTGCTGTTCTGCTCTTAGGCAGCACAAGCTCGATCTCTAAACTGGTGGAGTGTCTCTCTCTTTAGTAATGCCATTTCTGTGAATGAACAGCATTTGATAAGCGTTGGAACTTGTGCCCTTTTATGGAACAATCATGTTGTTCTTTCAGATGAGCATACCCCATCAGATCAGCATACCCATAATTAATACGCATGCGCAAGACATCAGATTTGCGTTTATCCCTTTAGTACAACAAATAGACTTTAAACTATCTCAACGGGTGTGTATGCCTTTAGTCATGTACAAAAAAAAAACAATTGAAGGTCAGATCGCCATACATTTTTATAAAACACCAAAAAGTAACTAATTAAATGACTTCTTCCCCAGGTTCAGCACCAATCACATCGTGAAGTTTGCAGACGACACCATGGTGGTGGGCCTCATCAGAGATGACAACGTCCTGGACTACAGAGAGGAGGTGGAGCAGCTGGTGGACTGGTGCAAAGATAACAGGCTGATCCTGAACGTGGAGAAGATGAAGGAGATCATCTTGGACTTCAGGAAGAACCGGCCTAACCACGTCAACTTCTACAGAAGCACCATAGAGAGCGTTCTGACCAGCTGTCTCACTGTGTGGTGTGGAGGCTGCAGCGCCTCAGACTGGAAGAAGGTGAGGTGAGTAGTAAGAACAGCAGAGAAGATAATCGGGGCTCCTCTTCCCTCCAATAAAGACATTTCATCCCAGCGCTGTGTGTCCCGAGTCCGTAACATCATAAATGTCCGCTCAACCCCCCACCATGGACTGTTCTCCCTGCTGCCCTTTGGGAAGCTACTTCGAAGCATCCGATGCAGGTCGCGCAGGTTCCATAACAGTTTTTTCCCCACTGCCATTAGACTGCTGAATGTTTTGTAAAATGGGGTGAAAAAAAAAAGTGCTGAATGTTGAAAAATGTAAATCATAATCCAGTTTTATGTTTACATTTTATAACAGCTGCACTTGAAAAATGAAAATGTCTTGAGAGCTGTACTGAACGAAATTTATTTTTGTATACACTTTTTTGTGTGTACAAAATGACAATAAAGTCTGTCTAAGTCTAAGTCTAAATTGTTATTTTGTAAATGACTAAAGGGATTCACACCGGTTGAGGTAGTTTAAAGTTTATTTTTTGTACAAATAAAAAGGGATAAACTAAAGGGATATACGGGTATTGACTATGGGTAGACTGGTCTGACTGGTATGTTCATCTGTCAGAACAATGGCAGTAATTTTGCTGATTTGCAATTCTCTTGAATGCGTGTTCACTTGAAGCAAAGGTAGACTGCATGAGTATTTACAAATGTATTGGAAGTTGAGAAAGTTTGATGAATCTGCTGTGGGACACTTGTAGTGGAAAAATTAAGAGAAATTTCCGACAAGAGTAAGAAAATGTCGCATGAGGCCCAATGGTTTAAAATGTAAAGGTTTTCATTTGTTTTTTTCTTGTTTAATGTTTGTTACTTACAAACCGTCAGGTGCACAACCACCACACACTCATAAGGAGTGTAACAGCTTCATCAGGGGTTTTATTTGTACTCGTAAATTTGTGATCCTTACTTGTATTGTGATTTGTACTTGTACTACTGCAAAGTTATAACTTTTTAACATGTATTTATACCTTCTAAACCTGTATTCTCACAGATCAAAAGTCTGAACAACAAACAAATTCAAATCTCAAATTAAGTTACATATTTTGGCCTACATTTAGAAATTAGAAACCTTTGCATTGGTTTTGATCTTAGCCCATAGTCTGGGATGTTTTCAAAAAATTCCATAAAGTTCTTAATCTCTTCCAGGACGGTTTCCGTAAGTACCATGTAAATAACCTGTACTTGTAGTGAGAGTTTCTCTTTAGGTCCTGCTACTCTGCCCAGTGATCCAACCTCACACCTAGTCAGATCCTTTATAAACTGAGCTACTGTAAAACATATCAACTGATCCATGGTTAGGTCTTACCTTGCAGCGCTCCACCTCAGCCAGGCGATGCTGCCATGTGTGCTGATAAAAACCTCGTAGCTGATGGATGAAGTCAGCATGAAGACGATCTGAAGACAGAAAGGACAAACAAGATGCTGGAATTATTTTAAATCCAGAGCGCCGTGACGTCCCTCATCAGTGAGATTTATCAGACCCTGGATCAGACTGGTGTCTGATCAGAATGCATCAGAAAATTACCAATCAGCTGATTAACAGTGTTCAATTCATCAAACCAATCAGAAACCAGAGCCGAGGAGCAGGTGGGGGGGACCAGAGAGCTGAAACACAGAGAGTGAAATTTATTGGGCAAACATAGCAGTGGGTGTAGCCTACAGGTACTGAGAAGTAGTGGGTTTTCTTTCTGTTACCAGATCTTATAGATGATGTCACAGCGCTGTTTTATCAGATCTTGTTTGGTTTGTTTCATCTGCTGATCCAAGAGCAGCTCCTGTTCTTTATTCTTGCCGCTGCTACAGAGACTCCTGAAACAAAAACTTCTACTAATCCACAACCAGTTTAGGGACATGATAAGGACACTGCCACTCTGTCATTGGATGCTGAGAAGGCCTTAGACAGAGTGGAGTGGATCTTTTTATTTGATACTTAGCAAAAAAAAGCTTCTCCAACATGTTTCAGTCTAGAACCAGGATCAACACTAATTAGCTAATTATCTCAATTTCAATCCATAGAAAAACTTTGAAAGACTTGATTGGTATTAACCAGACATAACCTCGTTCTGATCATCCTTGGACCCATTCAGTCCTTGAATCTCGACCAACCTTAACTGCTGCACCACCTCTTCTACTTTGTTGTTCCGCCATTGATCCAGACGGTCCTCCCAGTGCCGACGGATGAGAGCCTGCTGTTGAAGGTTTTCCTGCTTCAGCAGCATAATCAGGCAAGCAATGCTGCACTGGTTGGCCAGCAGAGCATGATTCAACGCCTGGAGGAGGAGGATGAGTGAAACAGTGGGCGCTGTGAGGCTTAAGAAGTCAAAGGGGCAGAGGTTACCGTGGCCTCATCATGGATCAGTCTGTGGACATCAGGTGGAGACAGGAAGCTGATCAGCTCCAGCAGGTGGCAGTATTTTTTCAGGATAACCTTGAGCTTGGACAGAAAATGTGCAGGCAGCTCCATTATTTCAAGCAGGAGAAATTTTGTCAAACCTCAAAAGATTTCTCTCATCAGAATCAAAGAGTGGTCTGATTCCCAGTCTGATTGAGCATCAGAGAGGCAACCAGCAGCCAGATGTTCTTCCCTGAGGAAGATGATCGGACCTGTAGCTCACACAGAAACACTTAACAAACAGCTGGAAATTAGTCTGACCTTCTCCCTTCTGCTTTTTTCACATTTGCTCAGCTTCTGGTCCAGTTCTGAGATCTGGATCTTCTTCTGCCTCACCTCCTCTTCCACTTCCTCCCAGAGACAATGTAAGACCTGACACAGACAGACAAACGAGTCATCTCCACGGCTCCAGTTCTAAGCAGAGACATGTGCTCGCTGATACTCTGGTTTAACCCTCTGCTGCTGCTGCTGACAGAGGAAGACAGTCATCTTCTGATTTCAACCTGCTGTACTTGTTCTTAAAGATAATGGCACTAAGGATGTATGTGTAGAACCAACCCACCCTCTCCGCCATAGTCCAGTCCAAAGGACCAGAGCCTTAAATCCATTAGATCTGTCCTCTTCTTTTCCAAATGACAGCTTCTCCTCAGAGTCCTGCCGATTAGCTCGTTTGTTTTCATTCAATCATTTTCTTAACTTGTATTTGTATTTCTTAGGACTTGAGGACCATTCCTACTATCCGTAGTCCACATTTTTTTGGCTGCTGCCACACATCTGTGGAATGCCCTCCCTGACATCTTGAGGGCATTTTAAAAACATTTATTTTTATTTTCTCTTCTAATAATAGCTTTTTCATCCTTTTCTTTTTGACCTGTAGTACTTTCAGATCTTTTAATGGAAAGTGTAGTATAAATTAAATGTAGTATTATTATTATTATTACTGTTTCTTTGTAGATAACAGATCTATTCATTTTATTTGATTATCAATGCACCGTTCCTAGAACCATATGGACAGTAACATACTGACCTTATAGAAGCCTTATGTTTCTCAGTTTTGTAAATGTTCATAAAATCTAAAGAAAAGCTCATTATCAACATGCTGAGGAGGAGCTGTTTCCTCCATCCTCCCAGAGTTCCAAGTCTCTGCTCAGCATGGCTCAAGCAGGAAGTTTGGTTGTTTGTCTCTTCTCCTTTCTCTGCACTGCAGTCTAATCAGTCTCTTCCAGATGTGTTTATTTTTTTTAACCAAGCAGCTGATGAGGCTCAAATATCAGATCACATCAAAAACTTTGAATACATTTTTTGTGACAGGGAGAAAACTCTAGAAAAAGTGTGTGTGTTCATGTGGACCTGCAGGCTGATTGGCGTCTGATGTCCAATTCTGTCCTTCAGGGTGTCCAGTCTGAAGTCCGCCTCTCGTAGAGAGGACAGCACCTGCTTACTTATGGTCCTCACCTCCAATTCACACTCCTGAGAGAAAGAGAGGATCAGTTCATCCATCCATCCATCCATCCATCCATCCATCCATCCATCCATCCATCCATCCATCCATCCATCCATCCGAGGTGAATACTCACACCTAAGGACAATTTCAAGACAGAAAACTATCATAATTCATATTTACAGCACCAGGAGAGAATGATGGATGCAAAGGGGGCACAATTCAATTCAGTTCAGTTTATTTCTATAGCGCCAATTCACAACACATGTCATCGCAAGGCACTTTACAGTTCACCAGATCATACAGTCAAATTGATCCAAAGTTTTCTATCTAAGGAAAACCAGTTGATTGCATCAACTCATTGACTCAAAGGCAACTGGGGTGCAAGGAGACAGAAACAGAGATACAGGAAACACACAGCCAGGGAGACAAGCTCCGAGCCAGGTCCCATGTCAGAGGATGAAGAGAGCACATCCAGCCAGTCAAAGTCAGAGAAACAGGACTACACTGAAAAACAGGCAGGCATCTATAAACAAAAGAGTTGATGGAAGCAGCACAGCTGATATTTCTCTCCAGGATGGAGTCACAGCCAAACAGGAACAGACCAGATTAAGCTTCTATGAGAAAAAGCAGAGAGAGCAGAATGATTGAGATTGAACTAACAGATTCTGCAGAGTAGGAGAACAGAGATAGAATGAAGCAGAATGATGAAATGGGGGTCCCTATGTCCTCCAGCAGTCTAAGCCTATAGCAGCATAACTATATAGATAGCTCAGGATAACCTGAGCCACTCTAACTATAAGCTTTATCAAAAAGGAAAGTTTTAAGCCTAGCCTTAAAAGTAGACAGGGTGTCTGCCTCACGGACTAAAACTGGTAGTTGGTTCCACAGGAGACGAGCCTGATAACTAAAAGATCTGCCTCCCATTCTACTTTTAGAAATTCTAGGAACCACTAGTAAACCTGCAGATTTGGAGCAAAGGGCTCTGTTGGGAACATACAAACTCTGCAGAAGACCCCTGCCAGGATTTAAATCCATGTTTTGAGAAATGGTTTGATAATTCCCCTCAGTATGTTAGCAGTAACAGCAGCAGAACCAGAGCCTGTGTGTTTATTACGCCTGTGGCATTCATGATAATGCAGAGGCACCTGGGACAGATGGCTCAGCTCAGACTTCAGCTGCTTCAGAGCTTCCTCATGTTTCTGACTTCTCTTCCTTTTAAGTTTCTCTACGGTTCCAGAACTCTGATGATCGACCTCTGTGGGGGAAAAGGAGGACATGAGCAGAATTATTTTACTTTCAATTAACGGCTTAGATTAAAGTTCTCACTTGTTTATAAGAGCACTTTGACGCACATTTAAAAGTAAAAAAAAAAAAAAAACTCACAGCCCTTGTATTATAATAATATTGGGGAGAATTTAACCCCAGAGTTTTTCAAATAGCAATGTATCCAAAAACAAGCATTTAACAGAAATGTTGATGACTTGATCAAACTAGATCAGGTATGCTCAGGCTGCTCAGTTGTGCAGGGGGTAGCACTGCAGCAATAAGGTTGTGGGTTGTGGGTGATTCCCAGCCCATTGTCTTTCTGCAGGGAGTTTGCATGTTCTCCCTCAGCATGTGTGGTTCCAAAAACATGACTGTTAGGTTAAATGGCTTCTCTAAGTGAGTGTGTGTGTGTGTGTGAATGGTTGTTTGTCCCGTTTGTCTCAGTGTTGCCCTGCGATGGACTGGCGACCTGTCCAAGGTGCACCCCGCCTCTCACCTGTAGACAGCTGGAGATAAGCACCAGCACCCTTTGCGTTGCTTGGGATAAAGCATGTCAAAAAATGGATGTTAGGATGAAGCCTTGATAGAGTCTGGAATCTTATCTAAGCATGTTTTGCCTTCTTCTTCATCTCTAATATTACTAAACTGGATTTAGCTGTACTAACAAATAACAAACCATAATAGCCACCAGTGGTGTGCACAAGTAGAGCATCCTCAACACTCAATCCACCGAGGGGATGCTTTAAGCATACCCTCCACCCCTGCCCTTTCAATTCACTGATACCAACCCAGTGAGTCAGGAAGCCTCATGACAACAGCAGTGTCACCATCTTTATCGTGCATCTGCTGCCGCCTACTGGTGGAGGAGAAGATCATGAGAGACAGAAAATTAGCTTTGAAGAAACAGACTGAAAAGATGTCTGAAAAGTTTGTTTCTCCATGTGTGTGTACACCTGCTGCTATTTGAGCTCATACTGTCTATGGGGGGCAGATGGATGGATCCTGGAGCCCTGCGCCCAACCAGCCGAGATCTGGACTGTTGTGCCTGAAACATGAAACACACAAACTGTCTTTATTAGTTTAGAAACCCTGAAAATATTCACCTGGCAACAGCGACTCGGTCCTTTATGCTCCTCTGTACAGTCTTACATAAATTCTGACTTTTCTGTTTCTCCACTCTCCTTATGCAAATCATGTTGTTTTATTTCTTGATTTAGTTAGATTTTTGCCATAGTTTGTGCATACACATATATACATATACATATATATATATGTATATACATATAAAAAATTCCCTAGGTCCGCTACACATATTAGGTTTTAAAAACAAATATTGCATGTCTGTTTGACAGGGATCTTATTACAGAATGATCTGCACTTTTTCACAGAAACTTAAATATCTATAGAAAGAGGATTCTACAACTCAGTTGATAGGGCATGAGATTACTTGTTTTTTGCTTGTTTAATACGAGCAAGATGCGGATCATTTTATTTGCATTTAGTTATATTTACAGTACATGACAAACTACTGAAATTATTTTCAGATTACTCATAAATAGATTCATTAATTCAGCAGGGAAGTTAGGATAAGGATTTACTCGATGATAACAACCTAATGAGCCTACTGACACAATCTGAAGCCATTCTATGGGACTGATACGTAGTCACTAATAACATCCATTTATGGGGATGATAACATCCGAAGCGCTGCTGCAAACAGCCACTTACTATTTACTGCATGAAAGAAGACTGAATCAACAAGAGGAGGAACCCATCAGATGATGCACAGGTTCTATATTAGAACGTTTTTTGGACTTCATGCTCACCATTTCACCTAAATAGATACACTGACCATTCAAGAAATAATCACATAATATTATCGCAGTCGCAACACACAAGCCATTTTGATATGTACTAGTTTTACTGAATATGTATTCCTGATATCTGAAAATACATTTCTTCTTTATCTAAATGACCATTTAGAGAAATGGCATGACATTCTCCACATCTAGAATAAACATTCTGATGTCTATAAATTGGACACTTTCTAAAATTCAGGTTCTGCTACAAAAATGTAATTTAGAAAATATACTATCACAGTTCAGTCTAGGAGTGTGATTTTGATCAGAAAGAATCTTATTTTAGTGATCTACATATGGAACAACATAAAGGAGAGTGCTTTTAATAAATGTAAAAAATTACCTGCCATAGGCCACTTCATATAAACTTATGCATTTACTTGAATTAAAATCAATAGTTCCAGTGGGATGAAATAGGAACTTTCTGTGGCATGTTGTCATGGTAACTAAGGAACAGCTGTATTAAGCATACATGTAGAAGGAGTTTATGGGCCCAGGAACTTGGGGCGCTAGGCACCTGCCTAGTTTTGCCCTGGTAGTTGCATTTAAGATATAATCAATAATAAAGAAAATATAATTTTCAAATTGCAGAGGCACACAGTTTTGGTCACATTAGGCATAGTACCACTACTGCTAAACCGAAGGTGGTTTTGCTTTCACACAGAAGGGAAAGGGAAGTTTGGGATAAAACTGAATACCTAAAACATCTACATGCTTTTGGGCAGCACAAAGAAAAATGTTATTAAAACCGCGATCACAATATCGGTTAAAAAAAATCTCGCTTTGATTTTTGACAAAATCGCTCTTATATTTTTGTCCTTAACATGATAATAGTTTTATTCAGATAAAATAGTCACTCTTATCCCTAAAAGGTACATTTATAACTTTTTGCAGCTGGGTTATACAGCGCTTGCTTGTTTATTCTTAATGCACCTTTTCCTCCTTGTCTGCACCTTCTTTAATTATGCCAATATGTGACCAGTGAATTATTCCTTATTTGTGCACATTAATTATGTTATTCTGAAATGCTGGGGGACCTCTGAAAGACTAATGCCTCAATACCTGTACATGGAACACCTCCCGGCTGGGAACCGCTCTTCTCTCACTCACCCTGTCGCTCGATCCGCCCGGATCCTGCGGCCAGCCCGGTCAACAGCTCCAAGTTCCCCGAAGTAAGAAGATAGGGGAAGAGAAGCGGCTTCGCGGCGTCAAACCGCGCGTGGAGTCAGGTTGGGTCGTCTAGATATAGAGACCTCCGCTTTCTAGGGTTTCTTCTCTTCAGTTATTAAAGTTCGGCGTTTCAGCGTCACCATGGCAACGGACTCACGGGCGTAGGTTTGCATAGGGACCATAGGGACATGTCCCTACCAAAATTTTGGACCGACCTACTTGTCCCTACCAAAAATTACATGTGAATAACATGTTTATAATTTACAATACAGCATTGTTGAAGCAGTAGAGGAGTTCTGGATGGAGAATATTGAATAGACGAAAACATGTTTTGTCTAAAATTCAAAATGTTTATTTATTTTACAATTTTGGTATAATTTCTGCTCTGTGAGCTAAAGATATGTTTTAGAGTCTCTATACTCCAGTTAACGATTAATTGATTACTACATTTTTTTTTTTACATTATTTCAATAATTGATTAATCCGATGAATTGTTTCAGCCCTAAATAAAATATATGAAATTGGTTAAATAGAGTAACTACATCCTAGATTTACAACTTGTAGAGTGAGGTTAATATATTAAATGCTCAGTGTCAGTTCTTCTTCTACTTCCAGGGCTCATGTAAATACAATGCATTTATTTGGCGTCCCTTGAATCTTTCATTTTGCTTTGTTTCATGATACAAAGAGAACATTTAAAAGTGGGTTTTACCTCTATTTGCCTCTGCACAATTCTATATCTTCAAAATAAAAAAAGTATAAATCCTCATATAACAGACATATTTAGACTACATTCTGTTAAATAGGCACCGATTTACCTACTGTCTTAGTCGCTGGTACTTTTAAATGCAAACATTTTCAAAGTGGAAAAAAGTCCTAATTCCTCATTTATCAGAGCCAGTTGAGCTTCATTCATTGATAAACAGCATCTAGTGTGTGTAGTGCTTCTAAAATTTGTATAAATGTAGCAAGAAATGCTTCTTTTCTCTTTAAATGAAATACACCCTGATTTTCCCATCAAGCATAAAAAAACGAGCGTGCATATTTTGGCATAGGACCAATGACATCAGACCAATAGTGTCCCTATCAAAGTTAAAATCAAACCTACGCCCTGCTTTTTTCTTTGAGTTGCCAGTTTCCTTTGGATCTGATGATGGTGGGCTACAATGAGCTCCAGCTTTCATCAATTGGTTGCAGGCTAATCAGGGGGTCAAAACCATTTCTAATGGGAGGGGAAATTTGTTTATCATTTGTTTAAATATTCTCAGTTCGAGTAATTTTGTTAATTAGTTAAATTTAAAAAGTACTTAGTGTCTGGCCAGTATTTATCTGTTTAATTAAGTTAATTTGTTTGTTAGTTTGTTAGTCAGTTATCCCCCTTGTGTGTCAACAGTGGTGTGATCAGCCACTATTTAAGTTTCCCTCATGTCTTGTTTGTCGAGGTCAGTTTGTCAGTTTGTGCTTGAATTCTTTATGTTAGTACCTGAATTGAAGTTTTTTTTTTTGTTGACCTCTGTTTTTGGGCCCAGTTTATCATTTTTTGACCACTTTTTTTGAAATTAATTAAGACTTTTTTTTTTTTTTTTTTTTGAAAAATGTTAGCAGTTTCCTGGCTGGTTTTGCAAATCCCTCACATTCCCAAATACTGGAGACGGAATGGAGATCTTATTTGTTATCAATTCAAAAGGGAGTTTTTAAAGTACAAAAGTTTTGTAGAGTTTTATGGTCATGTGACGTTTTAAAGTTCCGTAATTTTCCTGATATCCTGCTTTGTTCTACCTCTCAACTACTGAGCTTGCCTGTTTCCACCTGAACTCTGTTGGACTCTTGGGACCTTCAACCTGTCTGTGGATTCCTGGAACCCTGGAGGTGCCTGTTCCTGTTCTGATCTGAAACCCCTTACCTGTTTACGGACTCCTGGATCTCTGAGCCTGATTGCCTGACCTGGTTTTGACTCTTGTCTATTCACTGGGGCTGCAGCATCTGGTTCACCCTGGGCTGCTCCTGCTGCATCTATTGGCAGCCCTTTAGGCCAAGGACCTCCAAACTGATGGCGAGATGGAGCGGGGACCCCCTAAATATATATATTGTATGAAATTGTGTTATATCAAACTGGTCCTATAGTCAATCTAATACAGATGTAGTATTGTAACAAAAGTAATTTCGACCTGGGATTATTAAAGTATTTCTGATTATGATTCCTCATTGATGAGAGAGGTGTTGTGAATGAAATGGTGCCCAGCTTGAAAGAGCTCCTGCATGTTGCTGAATGTGTGCATTGATGAGTGAAAGACATCTTCTGCCTCCATTTATCTGTTTACTACAGTGTGTTGAATTCATGTTAATGTCTATTTAAAGACATTTCAATTAGTGGACCTCCTAGGGGTCCCAGACCACCTGTTAAAGACCTCTGCTCTAGTTGGATTCTACCGCGCTCTAAGGTGTGGAGGTGGTACCTCGCCTCCCCCCGCAGCTCTGCATTCTGTTCAGTTTTTAATAAGCATTTTGAATCTTCCCACTGTCTGTCTTGCCCTTCAATATTGGGTCCAACGTTCTGAGCACATTACTTTACCTCAAATTACTGAGAACTGTTCATTCTCTGGGTAAAAATAAATAATTTGCATAAGTCTGAGGCATTCCAGTCTCACAAGCATGCACTCATACTTAATTAACTGGTTCGAAATTTAGATTGCTAGATAAAGGAATGAAATATCTTGGAACTGAACTGAACCCGAATAGTGATTATGGCTGACAATATAGGAAAATTGCTCAACAAAATCAAGAGTAACTTTGATAAATGGGGTAGGTCATCATGTTCAGATTGGACTCACTTAATGAGATGACTGGTGTGCTATTGATTGGTTTGAAGGAAAACCTGTAGCCACACGGCCCTTCCTGGAACCAGTTTGACATCCCTGTTGTAAGAGTTCCTGGGTGTGTGGGTGTGTGTGTGTGTGTGTGTGTGTGTGTGTGTGTGTGTGTGTGTGTGTGTGTGTGTGTGTGTGTGTGTGTGTGTGCGTGCGAGTAACGCATCTCCTCCAGAGTGGATCTTGTTGGAGAACCTGGGTAGTCTACACAGGTGGAGCTCATCAGTCTCATCAGACTGTTGGGCTTTAAAGAGCAGCAGAATCTTCAATCAGCACTGGATGATTAATGTTTACTGATTTTCTCTAGTTGGATGTCAAGAAAAATCAGTTAGTGATGGCAATTTTGAAGCCCCATAAACCAATAAACCAATTTGACACAACTGGCCAAAAGTCTAAACCAAGCTTGAAACATTAAAAAGCTTTGAATGGCGGCATCTGCTGGTTCTCTTAATTTTTTCCATTAGCGTACCTGGATCACTTGTTCCCATCAGATACTGCTTCCCCCTGAATCTTCATAATCCCTGTATTAAACAAAGGAAAAATAACCTCTGATATCTGCTGTTCCCCTGTACTAAAAGCTATAGAGAACATTTATAATTTCTTGTTAATTTAATAACTATAATAATTACATTTTGAGGTTACAGTGGCAACCTTAACTGATGGTCCTATTAGCCCTGTCAACAGCATCTGATGGTCTTAAAGGCATGATCGAATGCAGTTTCACAGTTCAGTCAAATCTCATCATATAGTGTCCCCCCCCCGTATTGAACAGGGGAATCAGTATGTGCATCGAATTCTCTGATTTTTTATGGTTAAGTTGAGAATTAGACATTTCCAACTATTAATGTTGTACAGTGGACAGACAGATTTTCTGGCTAGATTTTAAGTGTCCTGTAGTGTTTAATATGGCCACATGATGGAACTGTTGAATTATTTATTGCAAAGGGGCTGTAAAACCTAAGCATAAGTCACATTGAAATGGAGTTAAAATAACCATCCATCCATCTTCTCCCACTTATTCCATCAAGGTCTCAGTGGGTCCTGCAGTCTATGCCAAAACGATTTTTTCACACACCCCTGGTCTAACCTCAGGGAAGTGGGCTTCAGCTTAAGCTTCGGTTTTCCACTTGGTCCTAGTGTTTGATGATTGTCTGTGTACTGTAGCGTAATATTGTTGAGCAGGGGACTATAACAGACGTTTGAAAAGTGCAGGGGACATGCCATCCCCCCCCAAAAAAATTACGTCCATGTCTGTGCAGTTAGATCAAATACCTTCTTTGATCTTTAGGACTTGTGGAAAGGGTTCAGGTACAAGTTTGCCCACGATTTCCTCTACACCATCGTACATGAGTTTGTTGTTTTCGAGTTGATCAGCACGGAAATTCTGCATGGATTTCTGTCTGCATGGAGCCCAAAATTACATAATTTTGCTGTGAAGATCTCGTAGATGTGTCAAGCATAAACCAAGCTTAAGGGCTGTCCCAAACCACGTACTGGATAGATCAAGTGGTGCATTAGGCCCTTAGTGTATGCAATAGTGCAGGCTCACTGAACTTTGCAAGTGGTTGCAACAGCAAACTCATTCAAATGTATGTTCCACCTGTTTTCATACATCTTGGTCCCACTGACAGAAAAATACAAGTTAAGAAAAAGAAAAATAGACATAATTGATCCTGAAAGCGAAGATCCTCTTTGAAGCAGTTTTATTTGACCGTATAAATTTTTTTAAAGAAAGAGGCAAATGTTTGATTTCGTGTCAACTTGCCCCATGATACTACAGCCATGCTCATGGGGCAGTCATGTCAATGACTGCTTTTGCTTTCCGTTTGAGGGAGGAAGTCATCTCATTCTCATTTATGCCCCCCCTCCTTCAATCAAGGTGCCTTCTTAGCTGCGGCTGTGATTTAATTGGTAGTGACACTTGATAGTTAAGGTTTAGTGTTAGGGGGAGGTTTGGGATTCAGTCCAAATCACTGTTACAAACCAGTTCAACATGTATGAATTTTCATCTGGCTTAGCCATCAGATTGATTTTATTTAATATTTCCAGATATAAATTGGATGTTTTGCTACATCCTGTCAACTCCAAAATAGAATTTAAAATCCTCCTTCTCAATTAAAAACCCTTAAATGGCCAAGCTCCATCTTAAATCAGAGATATTATTGTTCCTTATGTCCCTAACAGAGCATTCTCTATATGCAGGTATACTAGTGGTTCCTAGAATTTAGGCTCGTTTCCTATGGAACCAACTACCAGTTTTAGTCTGTTAGGCAGACACCCTGTCTACTTTTAAGGCTAGGCTTAAAACTTTACTTTTTGATAAAGCTTATAGTTAGAGTGGCTCAGGTTATCCTGAGCTATCTCTATAGTTATGCTGCTACAGGCTTAGAGTGCTGGAGGACATAGGCACCCTTTTTTCATCATTCTGCTTAAGTCTATCTCTATTCTTCCATTCTGCAGGATTTCTTAGTTCAGTCTCAAACATTCTACTCTCTCTACTTTTTCTCATAGTAGCTTCATCTGGTCTGTTCCTTTTTGGGTGTGACTCCATCATGGAGAGAAATATCAGCTGTGCTGCTGCCATCAACACCTTTGTTTATAGATGTTGGAGATCGGCCTGTTTTTCAGTGTAGTCCTGTTTCTCTAAATGAGCCTGCTCTCTTCATCCTCTGACATGGGAACTGGCTCGGTGCTCGTCTGCCTGGCTGTGTGTTTCCTGGACGGGGCCACCTTTTACAGTTGTTTTTTGTATCTCTGCTTCTGTCTCCTTGAACCCCAGTCGGCCTCGGCAGATGGCCGCTCACACTGAGCCTGGTTCTGCTGGACGTTTCTTTCTGTTAAAAGGGACTTTTTCCCTCTTCACTGTCGCTACAATCATGCTTAGTTTGACGGATTGCCTTTGAGTCAATGAGTTGATGCAATCAATTGGTTTACCTTTGATAGAAACTTTTGAATCAATTTGACTGTATGTTTTGGTGAACTGTAAGGTGTCTTGAGATGATGTGTGTTGTGAATTGGCGCTATATAAATAAACTGAATTTAACTGAATGTTTTTTGTAAAGAAGATATTTGCTGTAAAATTGAGGTACATAGATTTGGTACCTTGTGGTACCTTACCTCCCCCCGCAGCTCTGCATTCTGTTCAGTCTGTCTTGCCCTTCAATATTGGGTCCAACGTTCTGAGCACATTACATTAACTGAAATTATTGAGAACTGATCATTCTCTGGGTAAAAAAAATTATTGGCATAAGTCTGAGGCATTCCTGTCTCACAAGCATGCACTCATACGTAATTAACTGGTTCCAAATTTAGATTGCTAGATAAAGGAATAAAATATCTTGGAACTGAACTGAAACCGAATAGTGATGATACTATGGCTGACAATATAGGAAAATTGCTCAACAAAATCAAGAGTAACTTTGATAAATGGGGTAGGTCATCATGTTCAGATTGGACTCACTTAATGAGATGACTGGTGTGCTATTGATTGGTTGGAAGGAAAACCTGTAGCCACACGGCCCTTCCTGGAACCAGTTTGACATCCCTGTTGTAAGGGTTCTTGTGTGTGTGTGTGTGTGTGTGTGTGTGAGTGTGTGAGTGCGAGTAACGCATCTACTCCAGAGTGCATCTTGTTGGAGAACCTAGGTTGACTCAAAGCCAATCCGTCATACTAAGAATGCTTGTAGCGACAGTGAAGAGGGAAAAAGTCCCCTTTAAAAGAAGGATTGAAATAAATTCAGTTTAATGAGAAAATATTTTGACTGTTTTGGGCCCTGGGTGGGTTTCTATGACAGACTGTATACTCAAGGGACATGTGAACAGTTGTAACTAAACATTTATATTTTTCAAGTTGTAATGATAAAGTAAAATTTCAAAGCTAATTGAATAATTTGTGTTGCTTGTGAATGAGTTGGGAATACATTTTATGGAGTAAATAATCCAAATAAATTAGATTTCCTTTTTTTTATTTGATTTTATTTTTTCATGGAAGTGTTTCATGGCTCCTTCTCTCCAGGCTTGTTCCAAAATTATGACAGACATTATGGAAATTAAAGAGTGAAAAAGGAAAACCTGAAATGTAAATAAGTCATCTGGTGTATTTCTTTAAAAAAAAATCAAATCATCAGTCATTTACAAACACCAACGCTCAACTACAAGCTACATTAAAAGTGAAATAAAAGAATAACTGCAACCTCTTAAGCCTTAAATTGTATTCTCTTAGTTTGCATTGTTAACTATTGAGCCAAGGGTGAACTTTGTGATTAAAGTTGGTGAGGATGCTCCAAGGATGGTGGCTGATGGACTGTACCCGACACAAACGCTTTCAATAGGGTTTGTATTTTCCAAAATTAAGCTCAAACATATATTTGTTTAATGCTTTCCTATAGCTGAGAACAAAAAATAACCAAAATACACTAATATTTATATTAATGGGTTGGTAGACATGAATGTATATAAAGAATTTATGAATAACAACTGATTCCGATGGCAACAACAATACATCATGCCTCTAGTATGTACACAATTTAATTTCATTCATCCATCCATCCATCAAATCAATCCAGAAAAATGAGGATGGATTGATGGATGTTTTCCCTTTCAACTACATCAGTGATTATCCTCCTTCAAAAGCAACAAAAATGTAGAAACTTGTCCCACATATTGTTAAAAGCCAAAGTCTATCTTTTGAAATCAGTGGTGGGGAATGTCCCCAGCAGTCCTTCAGAAAGTTACCCCTGTGTATTACGGTAATTCCGAAGATTCGCATGCAGACTCTGTCGGCTGCTTGATGGAAGAAACTCTCGCGATGCGATTTGAATGTTCACAGCTAGAACGAGAACAGCGAACAACAGAGCGAGTCTATAGAGCTGTTGATCGGCTGGGTGGGACCGAAGAACGAGAAAGAGAAGCTTCTCAGTGAAGGAGGAATCCAGGGCAGAGCTCGGCGGCTGATAAATCAGATTCACTGCCCTTAAAACGCGGAGCGTCTGGACTTTCTTACGGTCTCCTAAACAAGTGTCACTGGCAACAGACGGTAGGTTCTCTCTTTTAGCTAAGCTTGCTAGCCTGCTGCTAACAGTCGCCGTGAGTGGAAGTTAGTTAGCTTGTTGGCATTCCGTGGCGGTTATTAAGCCACACTGGGGTCTATGAAACACGTCCACCTGCCTTTGTGTTGCCGTTTTTTCCTAATAGCTGCCTGTATGCTCCCATTCCGGTTAGTTAAACCGATAGTTGAGCTGGTTTAAAACGGTGAGCTATGTGGCTAACTCGGCAAACATTCTACCATTGCTGAGAAGTTTGAGGATAGCTGGGATGCAAAACAGCAACAGATTATGGGATGAGATGCCACTCAGTCACTCTGTAACCTAACACTGCAGGCATGAAAGGTACCTTTTAGGTTATCAGTGACTTTCTTTTTTAAGATGTAAAAGCTGTTGAAAGCCGATAGTAAAAAGTCATGAATGTAGGGGAGGGGGGGCTGTGTGTTACTGCCATGACTGGAACTCCACGTTGAATGTAAACAAAAAGATTTATGTTTGATCACATTTGAAAGTTAATTCCTGTACTGATATTTCTTTTTTTACATTAAAGGTTAAAGATCACCATTTCCAAGATCTTAAAACATATACCTAAATTTTAGCTATATTTTAATATACATAAAGACTGTTTTTTTTTTTTTTTTAAATAATCCTTTGGTACATTACTATAATTGTTACATAACCAAACAAACTCCCCATGAACAATTCGCTTTAAACCCCCTCCTGAAATAAAATAAACTGAAACTGGATGGAATTCACATTGTTTTTTAGGATTGACCTATGGCCTTTCGGCCTTTAAACTTCACCATATTATAGACCGGGATAATAATTAATCATTTGATATAGTTGCTTAAAGGGCAGATTAGACTTCTGCAGCCGCACACATCAAATATCGCTTGGGTCTGTTTGTGAACCAGTTTTGCTGGTATGCTTCTGCACCATCAGTCTGGAATTTCTAAGGACCCTCAGCAGTTTCCCGCCAATACGCAAGAGGGAGCCTATTAGAGAACTCACGAGAACCTCGGCGGATGGTCACGAGTTCTTCCTTTTGCAGAGACCTTATCATTTTACATAATCTGTCTAAGACATAATACAAGTGGTTGTACTTCTGACTCTCCTCGACTTGAGGTCTGTATGTGGTTGTGACTGTCCGAGAATAAATTGCCCTTAAGAAGTCAGTGTAAATGTGTAATACTTCTGATGCATAGCCTCTGCAACTGTCAAATCTGTCTCAGTGCGACCACGCCCCCTGCGCAGAGGTTCTGCAACCGTCGTCGTGCACCTCAAAAAAATCCCGACTACGTTTCGGACGGTCGCAAACCCGCGCAGACCTCAAGTGGAAGTGCGCAGACAAAAAGCAGCTGTGATTGGACCTTGGTATGCCTTTCCGGCTGTCTGTGTGGTCGTCCTTCTTTATTCGGTGACGGGGTGTGCCATTTTTAAAAACCGAGGAACAACTACAATGGATAACTATGTCGAAAGGTTATTCGGTCTTTTTGCCAACTCCATTAACAGAACCTGTTCCTCTTCGATGTCTAGCAACTCTAGATCCATCTCGGTGACCGTGATATCTTGCAGACGCACCATTGTTGTTTTGGAAGATAAACACTCCCGTCGGTGCCGCCGCAGTTCTCCTTAGTTCTCAAAAAGGCTCTTTCTTGCACTTTGGCAGGAAACTGCTGTGCATCCCTAGAAAATCCAGACCGACGATGCAGAAGCATACCAGCAAAACTGTTTCACGACCAGACCCAAGCGACATTTGATGTGTGCGGTTGCAGAAGTCTAATCTGCCCTTAACTCCTCTACCGACTAATGGGCAGAGGTTGTCCCCAGTATACATCTGGGTTTAGATAAGACATTGACCATAACATCTGGATATTAGAAGCAGCCGCAGCATTTGCTATTGGACCACAGGATTTAAACTTCAAGCCTAAATTCCATTAATTTCTTCTGAATATCCACAAATTCTACCTTGAATATAACCCTTCCATTGTTTGCTAGATTGGCCCCATTTAACACGAACATAGTAAACGTTACATCTCGGGCTGCAACTAAAGATTATTTTGTAAATCGATTAATCTGTCAGTTATTTTTTCGATTGATAATCAGATAATCAAAGGTCTCTTAGAGAAGACTTTTTACTAAATTAAACCAGGTGAAACTACAACTTGAGGAGTTCTGGAAAGAGTGTAATGACAGACATTTTTTTTTTAATCTAAAGAACAAGATATTTATATATTTTTACAATTTTGATATAATTAATGCCAGCTAAAGGTACGTTTTACAGTCTCTGTACTCCATTTAATGATTAATCGATGACTAATTTTGTTGACAATTATTCCAATAATCGATCAATCACGGTTAATCCAATTAATTTTTTCAGCCCTAGTTACATCGTAGAAACAGTGGGGGATCCGAAACATCCGACTTGTAGTACATTCTTGAAAATAGGCCTCAGGCTTTTAGATGCATCTTCACTGAACAACTGAGGTGTCGGTCTCCTCATCAAACTGTGTTTTAGTCATAAAGGGTCCAATAAAAAGACAATTGTAAAGCTATCTTTTGCTAAAAAATGACACCCATGTCATATCAAGCCTTCTTCTAGCCTTCATAAATTATTTAAATTTGCCTTTATTTAAAAAAAAAGTAACACCCCTCCAAAAAAAACCCACAATATTCTCAGGCTCAAGAGAGGCTGCTGTAGTTATTAACCACACATATTTTGGTGTTATTTTTTTAGTTCATTATGTAGGCCATAAGATTCAAAAAGTCATTTGTGTTTGCATAAAGTTCCCCTTACATTTGTTGTTTTGATGTCCAAAGCGTGTTGTTAGAATGCAGGGTTTGTTTCTTTTGTTGACACTGTACACCTAAGCTGCAAGTAAAGGTCATTGGCTCACCGTGCTTCAGTCTATCTTTTGTGTGAGTGTGTGTGCTCCTGTCCTGGTATAAGAGTTAGAACTATTTTACCAATTTCGCCATCAAACTAAGCTTAGTTTCTATCGAAATGAGGACATCTTGCTGCTCTTAACTTCCTCTTTTGTTAATGGCTAAGTTTAGCGCTAAAGTGTGAATTGACTTTAGTGTGAGGTATACACTGGTAAAGGTTAGGTTTAGAGTTATTGCTAGTTAGAGATGAAAATTAATGAAAAGGGAATCGACCAGGGCTGAAACAATTATATGAATCAATTATTGAAATAATTGTCAACTAATTTAGTTATCTATTAATAGTTAACTGGAGTGTAGCGACTCTAAAATGTGCCTTTAGCTGAAAGAGTGATGCACCTTGAGCAGCAATTATACCAAAATTGTAAATAAAAAATATGTAAGCATATTGCATTTAAGAAAAAATCATTTTCTTCTGTCAATATGCTCTGTCCAGAACAAGTGGAAAAGTTTTAGTTTCACCTGGTTTAATTTTGCAAAATGTCTTCTTTAAAGGGATAGTTCGGGATTTTTGACATGAATCTGTATGGCATCCCCATCACCAGTGTCATGCAATCACACTGTCTTACCCCTGGCAGCATCCTGTGAGCAGAGTTCTCGTCCAGCTTTGGTCAAGCCGAAAGTAGTCCGGCAGGTTTGCTAGACCCAGCGAAATAAAACGTTTCTCTTCCCAAATCAGTGCGCGCCGTCATTCTGACAACGAGCTCAACAACAGCCAGATGCATGTCTCGCTCCGCCTAGCTAGGAGCTAGGCGGAGCGAGACATGCATCTGGCTGTTGTCAGGTTAGTAGGCCCTAGCTGTCAGGTCATGGTGTCGCGCGCACTGATACGAACAGAGAGAAAATAGGACCAAGTGATAACGGCGTGTGACTTTTTCCACTACAATGTTTTTGGGATGCAAAAATATCGCTCTTTTGAACACATAATGTTTTGGGAAGAGAAACGTTTTATTTCGCTGGGTCTAGCAAACCTGCCGGACTACTTTCAGCTTAACCAAAGCTGGACGAGAACTCTGCTCACAGGATGCTGCCAGGGGTAAGTCAGTGTGATTGCATGACACTGGTGATGGGGATGCCAACCGATTCATGTCAAAAATCCCGAACTATCCCTTTAAGGAACCTTTTGCTATCCGATTATTAATTGGAAAAATAATCAGCAGATTAATTGATTTGCAAAATAATCATTAGTTGCAGCCGTGGAGTCGACACATGGTCCTCACTTCACATGGCGAGATGAGCATGGGTGCTATTGAGCATTTGCTGCATGGTTAACACCCTTGCTATCCCACAAAGTAGTTGTCCAGCCATCATGTCAATTTTGTCTGAAAGATGCAAAATAAATAAATTTTTTATCTGGTGGTGATCTTATTACTTAAAGTCCTAGGAAAATCCTATTTAAATGTCAAATCATTCTGGCTTAAACGTGTATATAAATGTATTCTTTATCAGACGATATTGTCCCAAAATGTAGAAAATTTCTGTAAAAAAAAAAAAAAATCCTGTCTTAAAATCGATGGGGTGTTTTTTTCGTTATCTTATGCAGGCCAGTTAGTTATACGTAAGCCTCAACACCTAAATTCTGCCAATATCATATCAGTGGTCATCTGCTATGGTGACTAGGAATGAATGATATTGCCTTTTTGCCGATATGTGATATGCAGATATTCCAAACACCAAAGTTCAGATTCCGATATAAAGAGATACTAATATCAAACCATGCGAGTCACAAAATTTAAGCCTAACCACCTTCACTGCGATGAATGGTAATTATTCCACAAATAATTACCATTGTAGAGGATAAGAACACCATTTGATCTTCAGTAAAGTGCTAAATGTTAACATTTATTTTCAACACTATCTCCAACAACATTTTGGAACATGCTTTTCCTGAGCTTAAACTGACGTCTATTCAAACAAGAGATAAATGTATTTTCTTCACAAATAGAAACATTTTTTACCTCTCCAGTAAATATATATTGTTCAGAATTGAATGTAAACAAAAATGATTACAAAAAATGAGGGAAAAAACACATTAAAAAGAGGTTAGCAA